AGGTCTTCGGAATCATAAAAAGTAGGAAGAGAAGTCCCCACTGTGTTTTGCATATGTTGTTTAATTCCATCATATTTAAGGTGTAACTCGGTTGGTTGGTTTTTTAGATGGAACTCAGTTTATACAAAAAACTGGTAGTCACATGTAGGATCTTCTATAGTAGTTTTGAAAATGAAAATAATATTTTTTTAATGGTACAGTGGAACAGTAGCTCAAAGACATCAGTTGTTACTTAAGCTGTTTTGGCTTTTTTTTTTTTTTTACCTTATTAGGATGAATTATATGTTTGATTATGATAAACTAATATTCTTTTAAGTGTTTAATTCAAAGGGGATTTGTGTTGTTGCAGACTACAATAGGCCTTATCAGCTTCAAGCTGGTGAGTCTTTACTGCATGATCTAATTCACAGCTCTGGACATTAAAAACCAGTGGCAGATTTGTATATCTTCTCATGTTTATACAGATGGAAGTGAGGAAGACAAACACACTGATAGTGTGTTTTATGCTTCAGTGAAATGATAAATTCACCCTATTAACTCTCAATATTTATTTTGAGACTACAGTGTATTTTTCTTTTTAAAGACATAAATGCTGTATTATTCTTTCAGGAACAAAGTGTCCTTTGTCCATTTGACAGGGTTGGCTTAGGTTTTTAAGCCTTGCTTAGAGAGATATCTTGTAGCTGTGCTAATTAGGGCAACTAAAATATTTTTTTGATGTACGTGTCACTGGGAATGGAGGTAGCAGAAGTTTTTGTCATATTTATTGTTTTTCATCTTTCTGTTAGAAGATTATACATATTTCTCTGAATAGAGAAAGATAACAACTTTAATGAGGGAAATCTTACTAAGCTACCTGTTTGTTGTTTTTCATATGCATTACTATATTTTAAAACACTTTTTAAAGCTTAATTGTCTGTGGTTTCCATGACATTTGTGTGTATATTCACAGATAAAATGTGAGTGGGTGCATCAGAATTGCAGATTCTTTTGTCAGATAGCCAAAAGGTTTCTGGTTTTGAACAAGTGCTTAGTTTTTATCTTAATTGTCAAATGCACATTTTTAAGTCTTCAAATGGCATATTCAAGTACAAAATTTTCTAATTAAATATTTATACTGCTAATAATTCAAGAATTAAAATAAAAACTATATGTTATGCATTGCTCTACAGAAATCTGAGATTTTTGACAGCTGTCTACTAAGCTTTTTGTTTCTAAATGCAAGTTGTTCACAGAAAACATGTTTAATGACCATACAAATTTGTGTTCATGTCTTACTGGCTTTCGAAATTTTAATACATGAAGAAAAAAAAATCCCCATGTTAAGTTAGCTGCAGTTTCATCTAGAAAGATGCATTCAAAATAAAATAGTACAAAAAGTTACAAATCTCCGCTTGCAAAGACAACAGATCTGCACTTCAATTAATCTTCTTGACAAATTCACCAAGTGAATATAAAACTGCTGAATGGGGCACTTGTACATATTTTTATCCCCTTCGTTGGCTACTGACTTGGGTAATGAAGTGTAGATGTGGCTGTTACATGCCAGTTGGACGGGAGCCAAAACAGAGATGTTGTTTGTACATGTGCAGATGTTGGCACGATTCCCTGCACTCCTGTTGTCAAAAGATCTTTTTATTGCCACAGAGTTATAAATATATCTGTGTTACAGCATGGCGTGCAGATATTTTACTAGTACTGTTTGGGATGTTCACTTCTTAATAAACCAAGCTGCTCCTAGAATTTCTTGTGTGAATCGAAATTCAGTGTACACAATGCAGGAAGCATAATAGATGTGTTTTGAAGATCAGTGTAACATTGTGACTAATGCTGTACTTTCAAAATCATTTTAATCCATTGCATAAATCCCTGCTGCTGCTGGAATGGAAAGGTCCTTTTAGCTCCTTCTTCTTTTCTGCACCTGGCTATTCAGGCCTTCTCCCTTCCTTTTGTCAGTACAAGCATGATGTGATGAGCTGGATCAGGCTACTGATCCAACTGAACACCAGCCCAGCAAGTACCAGCTGCATTGCTTTCCTAATGACATGAAGGAGGGGATTGACATGAGCGGGCTTGATGGGTTGGGAGGGATGGACACCTTCGCTTCCAGTGGTACCATGGCCTTTGCCAGGTTCAACTGTTTGTGGTTGAATTTGTATTTGGAAAGGGAGGCAAAGGCATAAGCCGAGCAGGACTGGAATATAGGAAAGGAGAGGGGTGGAAAAGAAAAGGAGTGGGGTGGTCCAAAGTCATACCTAAAGAAAAATATTTAGGTGTCATTGCTGTAGCAATTGAACTGAATATATTGCATTGAGTGCTGGTAAAATGCAGCAATATGAAAATGTTATGGACAGCTGGTGAAATCAGTTAAACCTGTGTTTGTTGAAAAAAATGTAATCGGGTAAATTTTCTCCAATTTAAGATATAAATTTGGTTTTATAAGATATGGATAAAGTAGACTTGCATGGGCACAGGACTGATAGGTACACACATTCAGACTTTCTCAATACTAAGCTGTATGGCTTTTTCCTGATAGATACTGGTAGGCAGTGTTTTGCATTTTCCTGTATGCCCCTTGATCCCACTCACTGCAATGAAAAATTTTTGCTTGCCCAGAGTTCTCTGGAGGCTATGCCTTAGCACCAACTCCTGCTTGCTGCTTTTTGAGTGAAATGACATGTTCCTTTGTAAATAACTAATTTCATTTGATGGACAACAGCCATTTGCTTATTGGTTTGTTTTCATCCAGGACTGAATACAGTAATGATAAATGCGCATGAAATCTCATTTTGGTGGCATTTATTGATGCCACAGGCATGAGTTTTCATTATATTGGTCTGTTTGTAGAATAAGTAAGGAACACTGAATTAGTACTCACTTCGTTTGTTGGAAGGTTATTTTGCTAACCACAAAATAAGCAAAAAAACCCCAGCCAACTTCTGAACTGTGGAATGTATCACTTGACTTGCCCTGAACTAGTGGATATTTGCCCCTACTTACTACCTTCATAAATTGCCCTGGAGCCAGATAAAAAACTGAAAACTAGATAATGTCATCCTTATTGCATAGTAGGTTCAGTTAGTGAGAGGTTTAGTTCTCAGTTATATGGTATCACAGCTTGAAAATACTGGTCTCAAACCCATCGAATTAGTTCTGTATCATCCTCAGGATTTTTCATGACTAGATTCGCCTATGTGGGTAGATCAGGTGATCAAAATAGAGTAGAAGTCCAGACACTTAGGCACTCCAAAAACTTTGAACTTATTCTGTTATTAATATGGGTCTGATGCCCTTTTGACCAACCAAGAAAGGTTCTTCTATACTTGCCATGTTAGAGGTTAGTTTAATGGTTTTTGCCATAAAGATGGCAAACTAAGTCAACAGTATATATTACTTTCTTCACATGTACCATATAGACAAGATTGGCTATGTAGAAACTTTGAAGAGTCCTTGAAAATTCCATAGAGGACATCTTGAGCCAGGATAGTCTGGGATGAATCCTCGGCTTCCAGTAAGATCCAGTAGTGTTAACACATAAATGGGTATTTTTACTGTCTCAAAATTATATTTGAAATATTAAATAATTTAAAAACTGTAGATGAACAAATTGCAGTGTTCTTAAGTGTTCCAAGCAAGGACCGCTGGAAGCTAGGTACAAGTTAACCTGGTACTCGGCCTTCATTTTAGATATGGGCTCAATTAGGGCCTCCATAAGATTTTATTAAATGCTCCTACTACAAGGAGCATGCTTCCAGAGCAGAAACTCGATCCTGAATCTTCTTTCCCTGTCTGAAAGGCCTTTAGAAGAAGGATGGAAATGAGCATGCTGTAAGTAGGTGAATTGGTTTGCTGGGCTGTAGACTCTCCATTTCTGTGCTGGAGATTTAAAGTGACAGCCATATGGAGTGTTAGAGTGAGGTTCTCCAGTATCAGCAGCATAGAAAGTGAAAGGAATGACCGAACCTCTTCTTTACCTTTTTTTTTTGGGGGGGAGGGTGGAGGAAGTATGGTCTGGACTCTCAATAATAACTGTTCCTTTTTCCTAGTCACCTCTGTATAGTTTTGTACTTCTTCAGATAATGATTCAGAATGGGGGAGAAAGTAATTGCAGCTGCATGTGAGTTGCTGGGATAAGTTGTACCATGGAAGCACTTGTGTTGCCCATCCATAAGAGGGGCTTTGATGTGCTTCAGTAAACCTTTTCATTAGTAGCATTTGTACTTAAAAATTCTGTAGCTAAGATTCCAGTTTTGTACTGAAATAACTTAATAGATGGAGACAATCTCTCCATGGGGTTTTGGTTTTTTACCTCCTGACACCTGCAGCTGTTGTGAAATCCTGAAAATTCGGTGTAACCAAGAGAAACTCTTGTTGCAGTGCTGAGCAAGTGTTCCTCTTCTGCTTTTTGTTCCTGTGTGTTTACCAGCAGTGTCTTTTAAAAGGTAGAGAAGATAACTGTAAGAATTTTCCTCTTGGATATTGCTAGAGGATTCATTGATCCAATGACCTGTTGGGTCAGAGGCCAGTTAGTAGTCTTTTTAATGAAACTTAGTTCCTGCCATGGAAGCATGCTTACACAGAAAACAACTAGTGAAATAGGTGTATTACAGAGCTTCTAGTGTTTCTGACCACCATCAGTACTCTAACCTTGGCTTAGTGTCAGCTGATGCCTAGTGCTTAAGATAAAATGATCAAAACTTTTTTATCAAAGGAAGCACAAACATAGGTAAAATTAAGGATTGTTGTAGGGGAGGTGCGGGTTCTAAGGCTATGGTGATTGGGTATGTAAGCACTCTTAACTTTTCTAATTCTTTTTTGAAGTGGGATACATACACAGATGGGTGAGTGCTGGGCAGCTCTTCCCTGACTGGTCTTGTAGTCCAGATCTGTTCTACGTGATGTGTTTCCTTCCAGTGTCTCTTTTCTTGATTTACCCTGAATGTTTTCTGCTATCATGGATTCCAGGAGGTATAAAACTTCCATTCAGACTGAAACGCACCATGCAGTTCAACCCAAGTGTGGTAAAACCTTTGCTACATGATCCTTGCGGAACTGATAACGATTTGCTTCTGGTGACACAATAGCAAGGTAGTACACGAGGAAGGAGCATGTGCACATAGTGGTATCTCCTAATTGTTAAAATTAGTGTGCATTCTATTCTTAGGGAGTTCTAACTTCTATGAATTTGGGGCTTCTGAACTTAGTATTTTTATGGTTTCTTCCTGATGCATAGTATGGAGGATACCTTTTAAATGCTCATCTGTTCGTATTGAAGTCTTAGGGCACCTTCAGCACAAATGAAGTAGTAAAAATATGCTGGTGTGTGGGTGGTTTTTTTTTTTTTTTAATTGCTTGTAGTATGTTATTACTATTTAGTCTGTTATGTTAACTTCCATGAAAGCTACTACTGGGGACAGATTTAACTTTTGATAAAAACGTTGGGTGGCTGTGTGTAATAAACACACAGAGTATGTATATAGCAATTAATCAAGAGGTAGACTGTTAAGGAGTACTAGAGGCATAAGAAAGCCTAAGGTTTCTTTTATACCTTAATCTGCTCTGTAATCCTTTCAGTGAGATCTTCAAGTGAGAGGATCCTCAAAGGAATCCAGTCAACTGGGGAAAATGGGAAGGGGGTGGCAGGAAAAGGAGATGTCACTTTTTAAAGCTTTTTCCTTTAGGTTATTAAAAAAAATGGTTTTAATTAAAAATTGCAGATGCAAAATTATCTTGGTGGGAAGTACACTTGTGTTAGTACAACAGATGTGTATAAAACAGCAATAGAAAAAGATAGTTGGTGGAATTGTGCATGTGAAAATAGGTACCTTTCCCTTTAGTAGTCCAACAGGGCCTCTTGCTCACACAAATATATTTTATGTTGTTTTTTTCTTTCTCTTCAAAACTTAGAAGTATATGTAAATGTCATGTTGATGGGTATTTACAGGCATCTCTCCTAAATTTTATTGAACAGCCTTTTAAAATCTAAGCTGTTTTGTATTAATGAAAATTTTAAAAAATCTTTTTATATACAGAGTTTTCCATCTGATGAGGGTTGGCCATTCGCAAAGTACTTAGGAGCATGCGGAAGAATGGTGGCTGTCAATTACGTTGGAGAAGAGCTGTGGAGTTACTTTAATGCACCATGGGAGAAACGAGTGGATCTGGCCTGGCAATTAATGGAAATAGCTGAGCAGCTGACAAATAATGACTTTGAATTTGCACTCTACCTCCTTGATGTCAGCTTTGACAACTTTGCAGTTGGACCGAGAGATGGGAAAGTTATCATTGTAGATGCAGAAAACGTTCTGGTAGCAGACAAAAGGTTAATCAGACAAAGTAAGTCTCTTCTTTCTCTCCGCTCCCCTCACCCCATGTCTCTTGCTTCTTTCTCTACAAGCACAATGTTTAAAGTATGTGTAGTTGCTAAATACCCATTTTGTTGGCTGTATAACTAGACTACTAATTAACAAACTAATTAGCTTTCTTCTGCAATTAGACCACTAATTGACCAGTTTGTCAATTTTATGAAGTGTTGAACTTACGTGAACTTGATTTACATATACTTTCAATCTCTGTAATCCTGCTTAAATGGAAAGGTGGGGGTGGGAGGAGAGGGTTTGGACGTTGGACAGGTTTGTACAGATGGATGGACAGATAGACAGATGGGCTGGCTGACTGACTTGTCTACCTTAGCTAAAAGAGAGAGGTTCCTTTCATCTTTTCCGGACGTCTGTAAGGATGGAAGTCTTGGCATACTATTTTCTGTGAATGGCAAGACAGTCTTACTGCCTGCTTTGCCTTAGTTACATAGTCTGCCTCTGGTTCAGTTGTTCAGGTAGGTGCTCTGTAATAATGGAACTGAAGGAATGAGTAATTTTAGTGCTGTTTCCAAATGGGAATAGTGAAAATTCGTTCATCTTCCTGTCAACTGTAAAAGCTCAAAGCAGTGACAGCAGGAGAGATGTTTGACAAAGTGGCATTACATGGGTTTATATTCCTTTTGAGCTTATAAGGAAAATTTTACAGACCTAAGGGCTAGAGACATTGAACATGAAACCCGAGATTCTGTAGAAGTTTGTGGCAGTAGGCCAAGTGATTCCAGTCTGCTTTGGGTGAATGGATTTTTTTAAGCTTTGCAAATAGACTTCATGTGCTGTGCTGCTGAATTAACATTGAGACTATATTTTCTATCCACACACTTTTCTACAATGAAGTATGGTTTTTGTTGGGTTTTTTTTTGGTTGGTTGTTGGTTTTTTTTGGCGATGTGGGGTTTTGGTTTTTGTTCTTGGGGTTTTGTAGGGGTTTTTGTTTTTTGTTTTTTGTTTTTTTTTGTTTGTATTGGATTTATTATACGTTTTCAGGGAGCTTAGATTAAAATTATCTGAGCCTACCAAGAAAAATCTTTTAATGTATTGGATATCCAGTACATTTACTTTAGTACCTATGGGCCACACAAATAAACTTTCTTCTTTTTTTTTTTTTTTCTTTTCTTTTTCCACCCTGTTAAAATATATAGTACTTAAGACTTTGACTTTTGGAGCATGTCTGAATTGCTCAGTCACAAGATGACCAAATGAACTCTGAGAAGGCTGATGAGTACATGGAATAGGAGCAAGTAGCATCTCGCAGAAACTGAATGCTGAAAGTGTCACGCTTATATCTGTTGTCTATAGTTCTCAGACTAATTTGGATCTAACTAGGATTTTGCTGCATGATTTGTAATTAACAATTAATCAAGAACACAGAAAATAAATGAGGACACAAGAAAGTTCTCAGTCTTTGTATAAACTTGACATTTAATACTGATTTCATTAATCTCCTGGAAAGTTTCATTAAACAATCTCTGTCTAGAGTGATTAATATGCCTGTTTAGATATTTGAATATGTACATTCTGTCCAGTTGCACTGTACAGTAATATCTAATTGTGCTCTATGTGGGATATCATAGTTGAGTTTGAAGTCTTTTTTTCCCATTCTCCTTTGCTGGCTTTTTTTCCATTTCGAGTTTGCTGTTCATTGTACAAGTTTTACATCATATTTTTATAGTTTTAGCAGTCATCCTTCAGTATGCTTTTTTCCTAGTCTGGCTTGCAGTGTGCCATAAATGAGTAGACTGATAGTCAGCTCAGAGACTACCAAACACAGATAAATTTTTCTTTGTACCTCACAGTGCTAAAAGAGATCTGCAAAACTGTGAGACTCCGTGACCAGGACCTCTTCTCAAAGCTGGCAGTAATCTAGAAACCTAAGATGAAAGTTTTCTAACAAAAAGTAGTGAGAACTAAGGAGATCTCACACTTAGTAACTTTTTATGTATTATTGTATAAGGTATTTTCTGTAAATCAGGTTTTAAGTTAAAGAAAACTTTGACAAGGCCACTAGTTACACCTTCAAATTTTGATAACTTTTTAAATATATGTAAGGAAGGTTTATACATGTATGTAAATGCCATTTGTTTTGTTGAATTTTTTCTTTCTTCAAAGATTATATGTAATGCATCTGCTTTTTTATATGCACTTCTTAGTTACTACCCTGTCTGAAGTAAGAGGTTGGAAGGTAATGTTTCAGAAGTTTATGGCAATTACTTTGCAGTGTTTTTTTGTTCTTTGGTAGACCACTTCACAGTATGAGTTCCCAGGGCAACTGGAGAAACCAAATCTATGTTGCTAAAATAAATCATGTTGCTTGTTTGTTTTTCTCTCAACTTCAGCTGTGAATCATTCTCTTGTACTTGTTTGTGCCACATTTTTTCCTCTGGGTATGTGTGTGAATGTAGATTTCATGTGTTTAATGTGCTATTTTTTCTGCTGCCCTCTCTTTGCTATCTATTTTACCCTCTTTCTTTCTTTCCCTTATTTTTTGTATTGCCAGGACCATTTCAGCAGAAGGGTCAGATGCAATCTTAGACTACAACACTTAAGAGTTCATCTAAACAGAGTTGCTTTATATTTTAAATATCACCAGTTTGCTGTGTATTGAGCTTCTGATTGTATTCAGATACATGTATGCTCTTTCCTCCTCTCTCTCACTTTTTTTTTTACTGTCTCCTTGTATTTCACAGATAAACCTGAAAACTGGGATGTATGGTATGAAAGCAAATTTGATGACTGTGATAAAGAAGCTTGTCTGTCCTTCTCGAAAGAGATTCTTTGTGCTCGTGTCACTGTGGACCACAATTATTACGCTATTTGTCAGAACCTTTTATCAAGACATGCCACATGGCGTGGCACTTCTGGAGGACTACTTCATGACGCCCCAGCTGAAATTGCCAAAGATGGCCGACTTGAGGCCTTGCTGGATGAGTGTGCCAACCCAAAGAAGCGATACGGTAGATTCCAAGCTGCAAAAGAACTGCGTGAATACCTTGCACAATTGAGTAACAATGTGAGGTAGTCCACAGTGAAAATTTTTTGCAACACTGACTAAAACACTATTGCAAAGACACACATAAAATGAAGTTGTGAACTTATGTATTAAAAAGAGAAAATACAAAAAAACCCTAGTTTATCAGTTTTCTAAAAACCATAAAAATATAATTTTATGGTGTTATAATGTTCCTTTGCAAACAGAGAAGGTACTCACTGAATTAAAACTTGAGCTACTATTGACTCTCCTCCCTAACTATTTAAAAGGGAGTGGGTCAAAAAAGACTGTGATAGCTTAATTGACAGCTTGTGTGTCAAAGGGTACTTTACATAGAACTGCATTAGTGTCACAGTTTTGTGAAGCTGATGTTTTTACTTGGAAAATCAAGTTAGCCTGATGGCCTGTTTTAAAGGCCTTTTTCCTGACATCATTGTCTCATTTTTGTGTTTGTTTAAACACCTTGAAGTGGCATTTACATACAGGTAAATCTAGCTGTCTGCATTGTTTCAAATTTAACGGGCTTTCATGTTAATGCTGTGCAGTACATTCCTACTGTGAGTGCAGGATTCCCACGTTTACTGTCTAATTTTAGGGGGTTTTACACTGTATTTTACTATGCTTAGACATTGTGTATTTTTTTTTTTTAAGATCATCATAAACTCGAATGTCATTTGAACTAACATCCATTTGATGTCTTTTGTAGTTCTGCCATTGGAAATATCACTTAATGTAATTATTGTACAAAACTTCTACCCTTCATGCCAGTATATACACATGACTGTTTAGCAGGAAATCATGGTATGAGCAAACTCATATTTTTAACAGACATAATTTGAGAATTAGAGAGAGACTACAATAAAAAGTTCTGTATTAATTTAAATTGGGGATAGAAGCTTGACTAAAAATAAAAATTCACTAGTCCAGTGTAGTTAAGCATAAACCAAAGAAAATGGTTTTGTTTATTAGTTTCTAAACAAACAGTAAAGAAAAAATGCTATATCGTAGTGAAGCTAATAATTCTTGAAATTCAAATTTCAGTGGTCCTTGGTTACTCTTTGAAGGACTTCTAGAACTATGTGCTTATACTAGAAGAAAAATCTAATTTGAATAATAATGTCTAGAAAGTTAGCAGTTTGTTTTACATTATTCCCAATTCTGTTGAATTCAAGTGTAATGGAGTTTACTAAATATTCGTCTTTTGGTTTACCAGCTAAGTTGATTAAGCTGTGTTCACTAGAGACACCTTTTCTTGAACTAAGTTTGACTATTCCCAGTGCAGTTAAAATTGACTTGTTGAGGTTTGTGTAAATCTAGAGCTGTTTTCATAAATTACAGTTTTTATAAAAACCTCAGTTACTGCTACAAGAACTCACTTCAAAGCTTCCTCCTCATTTTTTTTTTCCCCAACTACTATAATGCTTCATTTTCCTGAAGTCTTATTCATAAAAAGACACTCTTAGGAAATGTATGCATATTAGTTCTTGTAACAGTAACGAAGGAAACTAATATTTCTTAAATGCGTGTATAAAACAATCTTCCGTGCAAGATAAAAAGAATTCTGAGCAAGGTAGTACGTGCTACTTTCAAGGGCAAAATTAGCCTGCCTCTCATACTGCATCAAAGACTGATGGAAACTGTTGCTTTACCAAATTGCTGCAAGTGCAAGCTGAGGAAAATAGCAAACTCACTCACTGGCCCTTCTTTCTCAAAGCTCAAAAAGTGGAGTCATATAAAGATGCAGAGTGCTTTTTGATTTCTTAGATGACTGTGATAAGGATATTTTAGAATTCGAAATTCTTACTTTGTCATCTTTGCCTATGTAGTCCTAGTTTGCTCCCAATCCCTTGTCTCGTTTTCTGAAGTTAGAATGCTCAATGCAGCTTTTAATTTTAATTTCTCCCCTCATTTGAAAACTGTTTTACATGCTTGCTCTGGCACAAGCTGTCAGAGAAGGTTCATGTTATTTTTCATCATAAAGTCCACTTATTTGAAGAAGAGAGACTAACCCTCAGACTAGGTAATACTACCCTACCATAAAAGCCTTGACTTATCACTAACGTTGTTTTTTAAACATCTACCACATTTCCCAATGAGCGAGTGGAGTGTGATTGTTAAAAGTCGTAAAAGAAACAAACACTGCCAGTTCTGGTTACTACTGGAGGCAGTTCTGTAACTGTCAGAATGTCCTATCAGATTTGGTTTGGGTTTAGTTCCCTCAGAAATAAGTTACTAAAGCCAATTATAAAAGGAATTTGGAACTTTAAAAAAAGCCAACACTACAGGGAAAACATTGTGGAGAGCAATAAATCTTGTTCCGTTTGCACCTATCAGATATTTATTGTACAATAACAGTTTATATTTTTAGCCATTGCCCATTATTATTGATGAACACGGTGAAATATTTTTGAATGAGATGTTTGGGGTTTGTATGTGCATTACAATTGTCCTTTTGTACTGTAAGTTACTGTTTGATTGGAATATTTTATCAAAACTGTCTCCCTGTGCCTTTATATTACAAGAAAGTTGTTGCTGCAACTTCTAATGATATTAATAAAGAATACTTTAAGAACCTCATCTCAGATATTCATTTTCAGATCAGTTGGTCTTCTAAGATTGACTTAGTCTAGAATGCATTAAAATGTACATAGAACTAGTTTTTGTAGTGTTGCAGAATGCACCATCATCAAAAGTGACAGGAACTTTTTTCCCCTCCTTCTTTCTAGTAGGCTGTTTGATCCACAGTATGAATGATCTGTCAGGAATCTTTTTGTTTTGGAGATTATCATAAGTAGGACTAATTTTCTTAAAAACAACTTGATCAAGCCATATCTTTCTGTTCTATTAACTGAAAAAAATATTTTCAAATTAAACAAGTTGATATCTTCTCTCTTTATTGTTTGAGAAACTTATTTTTCCTTGTATGTAGAATCATTTATATTGCTAGTACCACTGTCTCTTCAGCACAATATTCTAGCAGTTAATGTAATATAAATACATAAGGACTTTTGATGTTTCTCCTTTACTCTGGATTTTTCAGTGAGCATTTGCATTCGAAACTAAGTCCTGCAGTTATATTAGAGCATATATTCCCTTCTGACTTTCTGAGCCTGTGTAAATAATAGGAATAATTTGTCTCAAAACCACTTGGATTTTCAAATTTTTTTGGTTGCACTCCTGCTGCCTCAATTTACATCTCCAGGAACTGCAAACATGCAGATTGAAACTTGTAAACTTTCCAGCGTGCCTCAAAAGTCAGGATTATTATGGTCTTAAGAAGAAACTAGCATGAATAACTGCTGCATCTTTTCTTTCAACAGTTTCCAGAGTGTAGCATAGTCTGATCCTGGTCACCTTGAACTACAAGACATGGTGTATCTGGTACTTTTTTAATAGGTAGTTTTTCATGGTGAGATATTCTTTTACAAGACACTGCAAATATGTTAAACTTTGTATGCTACTCTGATTTACTGCAAAGACTAGGTTAAATGCGATTTTCTTTACCTTTATTAGAATGGACACCTTGGCTACCTTTAAAAGGCACTTGAATGTTTTGGTTCTCTACAGTCAGTCTGATGTTTTTGTAGAAACCAGCAGTGGTGCTTTCGTGGGTTCCTGTTTTCCAATATGACATGTCTGAATTCAGTACTGATTACTAAGCTCTTTTGTTAGTTACCCATGTTGTTTGAAACCTGTGATTTGGAGATTAGGATGGATTGGACTGCAAAACCTCTGTAAAATGCACGTGCCTAGTGAGTATCAGAGAAATGTTCTATTAGGGAAGTATATTGCTCAGTTTGAAGGTTTGGTGTGCTGCCTGCTTAAACCGCTTTTGAAATTCCTCATGTTTTCTTTCTATCTCACAGTCCTCCCAAGCCTTTAAAAATCCAGTCCATCAGATGGAAACGTCATTAGTGTAGATTTCACCTACTTTTATTTTAGTTGAAGTTGCAATATACAGACCTGCTAATTTAGTTGATAGCCTTCATCTGACTAGTTCACTCTTTATTAGTATCACTGTTATTTCCACTTTAAATGTCTTCCAGTTTTTTGTTTTCTGTTTCCTTACTTCCAGATTATGTTCAAAGATGTACAACTCGTTTAAATAGACCTTTACTGCCTTCTAGTTTCATTTTAGGGTGTTCTAATGAAATTTTTCCTGTGCCGATTTGTCATTTTTTTAATGTGACTCTCCAGATCTGACAAGTGTCAGTTTGCCTGGGGTACTTCTGAGCATCAAATCCTTTTTATATTTCATACTGAGTTTTATGAACACGTTTCACTATTCTTCCAGGCAAAGGTCTTTGGTAGTCTGACTTGTACTGTACACTCCGCTAATGAGCTTTTGCTAGGTGCAGAAAGGCCCCGTGGCTGCTAGATGTCTCTGTAGAGTGTGCATGTGATATGTGCATGTGATGTTAGGACAATGAAGTCTGTTGTTTTGGCAGCAGATGAGTCTGTTGTTGCCACGCTAGAAGTATGAGAATATACCTGTTTTGTGGGGTTCAAAAGCTAGACAAATTTCAGGAGCGTTAGTAATGAACAGTTGCCACGAATACCTACTTGCGTGTTCAGGTCAGAGCAGGAAAGTTCTGACTTTAAAAGAAAAAATATCTAAGGCTGTTTTTTATATTTGGTGGGTTAACTCCAGTCTTCTGAGAACAGAAATGTGAGAGCAGAATATACTTCAAAGCAAAATAGGCTGTTTAATATACAGCTTGTGTTCAGATAGAAAAAAGAGCTTTTTTTCTAGGTCAGAGTTTCAAATAGCTTGTCTGTTAGTCAAAGGATTTTAATACACATCTTTCTATTCTGAACATGATGCTTCTGTATACGCTTAACATTTACTATAGATTCGAGCTTTTGATATTATTAATGGAGGCTTAGTGCATCCATTTAATGTGCCCTTGGTATAACTACAGATTCCCAAATAGATGCCCTGTATCTTTTTAAAGGGCTGGGGTTTTCAAAATTTAGTGCATTTTTATTTTTTTGCTTTTTTTTCTCCAGAAATAATTCTGAAACCCCTCAAAATAGTTGAG